TTCTTTCCTTATCCTGTTGTTCTGCTGGGTTTTTCCCAGGAAAATCCTAGCCCTTTTTCTTTTCTTTCCTCTATGGAAGTCAGTTTTGAAATTGAATATTGATCTTCTCTGGGGTTTTGGTGTTTGAATCTTGGGGTTTAGACTTTAGAGTGTGTACTGAAAAACCCACGAGGTCAAGTTCTTGAAAGATTTGATCTTGAGAGCAAAGATTTCATCTTTTTTGAGACTTTCCAATCTTGAAACTTGATGCTGCATCTTTTGTTTTTGATGTTTGACATTCATGTCTCCAGTTCTTAGTGAAATCCTCCGTTCCGGGTTTATGGTCAATTCCTCACTGAGACGCAGGACCCATCTTGTTCAATCTTTCTCTGTTGTGTTCCTCTACTGGTTCTATGTTTTTTCATAAATCGTCTCTCAGAATTGCTTAGAGTTATATACTAATATATCATATATTATATAGAAATAAGTCAAGAACCACCTTGATCTTGGTTAGCTTAACATAACTAGTATCTGGTCCTGTTGTCCCCAAGGTAAGGTTTTACCATCAAAATCTAAGTCTGTTTTTGAAGTTTTAGTTCTTTTAGTGTGAATATAGTATGGCTTCTTCAAGTGGGAACTCCAATTCTCCAAGCTCCACTCAGCCTCAAAACTCTGGCTCTGAAGAGGACTTGCAGCTCCTGATGGATCAAAAGAAGAGGAAGAGAATGCAATCCAATCGTGAATCAGCTAGAAGATCCAGGATGAGGAGACAGAAGCATCTGGATGATTTAGTGGCCCAAGCGTCTCAGCTGAGGAAGGATAACAACCAAATCCTTTCAAACATCAACCTCACCACTCAGCACTATGGGAACGTTGAGGCTGAGAACTCCATTTTAAGCGCTCAGGTAATGGAACTGAGCCAAAGACTGGACTCCCTAAATGAGATCCTCTCTTTTATCAACACAAGCAATTGGCTCTATGAAAATGAGGGCTTTGAACAAAGTTTTGACAGCTTCATGAACCCTCTCAGTATGCCATATCTTAGTCAACCAATCATGGCCTCTGCAGACATGTTCCAGTATTGATAATGTGGGAATGGCCAATTCATGGTTGTTCTTTCTCACATGGAGTCTGATAAATAAGTGGAGTAGAATGGAGGGGTTCTTTCATCTAAATATTTTTAATTTTATCATGATATTATGAAGCTTATTAGAGGCCACATGATCTGCCTCTAATAGAATGGGCAACTTGGCAGTTATTCAGAGCCACTTGGCAAGAAGAAACTGATGAATTAATTAGGTACTGGTATTTGTAGATGGGGTTTCAACATATATATAAAAAAATGGTGTGTAAGGGGTTTGGATGTATGTCATCTCTCTGTCTATATAAATATATATTAATCTCCACCACTTGCTTTGTGTTTTCTTCAATAATTTATGGCCTCTCTGTTCTTATGTGCAAATGACAAAGGTCTCTTCTTTTCCTTTCGTCCCTTTTGTTTTGTGGTTGAGAAAAGTGACAAGAAGTGATATTGCTGTTGTTTTGCCCCTAAAAGGGTATTTTCCATTTCACAGTTCACACTAACTAAATTTGTTTGTCCAATTCATCCTTGATATATTAAGAACTTTAAAGGAATCACTCTCCCTCAGCAGGTCTCTTGTAATTTTTTTTTTTCGGTTGCATTGCATACGTCCGTGTGAGCTATAAAGCGAGGGCAAGAGGATGGACATTCAACTAGTCTAAAGTTCAAACTTAAAACCTCTAATTTATAAGTTTTGCACTTTGATCATTGGACTGTTATTAGGAGGTGAACTTATTGTTTTTTTTTTATGTTAGTTAGCAATGGTCATGTTCTGTCTTAAGATGATTAGATACTGTACTTTCAAGCATAAGACTTTGCTTTGATTTGATGGCATTAATTGCTTTCTTACTAAAAAGATGAAAGAAACCCTCCAACAAGGCAACAAGCAAGCAACAGCCTCTCCATGTGTCACCTAAATAACAGTTGTCCATTCCATTCATTTCTTTAAGTATAGAAAGGCATTTTACTTGGGTTGTATGCTATCTGTGCTACAAAGTTCCTGACTAGTGGAAAGAAATTTGAATGTCAATGTCAACGCCTCCTTGCTTGGAGCTACGAGCTAGAATTCATCTTATCTTGAGGAATCCAGATTTGACCCTTGATGAACACTTTGATTTCGTCTTTCATGTGTCAAACACCTGCTTGAAATAAACACTTAATTGAGAGCCCATGTAACGTAAGCATGACATTTAATTGTTGCATGCATTTCAAAGCCTGAAGATGGACATCATTCATAAGAATTTCGAGGGGAAAAAAGAAAAAAAGAAAAAAGATGGAAGATTGGAGTTGATTGATCAACAATACAGTGTGAACTATGAAGAGGAAGCCAGCACAACATCTATTTTCTTTCCCATCCAAACACTCTTCATCAATTTGCCCACTAAAATATTGTCAAAAGTAAACATAGGATGAAATTGATTACTATATCATGGGTGAAATAAGAGAACTCAGCCAATCAGTCCATTGTCTTCTCCACTCTCTTGTATTGATTGCTGCTCTGTTTGCTTTTACCTAACAATTATTCCTTTTGGTTGAATAGCTTAAGTTCAATGTACAATGTTAAAGAAAGGTTACTGCTACAGTCGTTTGTCTATTAAAATCTGAATTCTAACCACCCAATTAATGCAATTTGAGTTAAAGACATTTTTTAATGACTTATCTTTAATTAAATTAAAAAAAGTAGAACAAAAAATGTTAAAGACAAAAATTGTTCTTCACCCAACAACCCAAGTTTTACAATAAAGTAGTTCTCGACCTAATATTTGATTCTTAAGAACAAAGCGGTCCTAAATAACTGATTAGAGGAGTTGGAAAAATGAAGCTGTTCTTTTATACGTAGATGAAGAAATAAAAATATGTCCAAATGTACTTGCTCAAAGTTCCATATATTTTCTGGTGGGTTGCCTTGTTCCCTTTGATTTAAACTTATCCGATCCCATTTGTACTTATTGATAATAAACCGAACAAAAATAAAATAGTTAAAACCTCAATTTGGTCTATTTACTTTAGCAAAAAATTTATTTTTAATCCCTCTACTTAGAAGAACTCTTTTTAGTCTCTAAAATTTAAAATTTGATCTAATTTAAGTCCCTTCATTAAATTTTAATGTTAAATGACAGAAGTTTTGAAATAGATGAATTAAAAAAAAAAAAGCTTTTTTCCAAACATAGAGATCAAATTGGGGCTATTTTTAGCCTCTTTTAACCCCATTTTTGTCCCTCTATTTTTGGAACTTTCGTTATTTAATGGGCTACGCATGCATAATTTAATAGAAGGACTAAAAAGATATTAGATTTCAAATTTTTAGGGACCAAAAATGAGGTTTTTTAAGTAAAATGACTAAAAAGAGGTATTTTATCAAAATAGAGGGACCAAAATAGAGATTTAACCTTAATAAAGTTTTAACCTTAATAGAGTAAACCTAAATTTAAGATACATGCGAATAGGTCAAAATCATTAATTTAATACATATTAAGTGGCGTCTGACCCTTTGGGTCAACTAGCAGTCTGTCAGCTTAAGGTGCATTCTCTCTTTCTCATGAGCGGGTTTCAAGCCCGCTCTTGACAACTTGTCAAAAAAAAAAAAAATACATATTAGGTGAAATTATCTTGCATCAATCAATCAAATATGATATGACTCATTTCATTTACTCTTAACTAGTTTTAAGTTGAACGTTTTCACAGAATTCATGAAATGGAAGAGGAAGAGGTCTCTGTAACGGAGAAAATGCCTAGAAGAGGAAGCAAAGGAGATGAGATCACCCTTTTGGTGCCTGTATTTTGATTGCAAGTTACCTTCTCAGAAAAAAGAAATTGTAAAGGATTAACTAGTTTAATTATGGTGTGTGATGATGATAGCATTAGCGATTAATTATGGTTTAGCATTCCAAAAGTCAAAAGCCTTCTCTATCTCAGTCGGTGGATTATGACTGAAGCCATGACATAAAACCTCATTTAGCAGAAAATTTCGACATGGTATTTCTTGAATTCTATATGTTTAATTAAACTTCGTTTTATATAGATGGCATCTAGCATTAAGGAAAGCGTGCCAAGCAGCCTAGCATGATGTTAGTAAAATGACATGCTGCCCTCTAACATGTATTTAAATAATCAAAATTATTTTTTCTTAATGTAAAATAATCTAATAATTGTGTGTAAAGAAGAAACAACATTATTTCTTAAAAAAAAAAGAAAAAGAAAAAGAAAAAGAAAAAGGAAACAACATTCAATCATCTCAAACAATCATGATTCATGACTCTGGTAAATCCGACAAAACATGACTTAACTTTGGTAGGTTTAGTAGTCAATTTGTTCCTAAAAAGGTCAAGCTAGACTAAGTACAGAGAAAATAGATTACTTATCTTCGTATGGCAGTTTTAAATAGAGTTTAATTGACAATTAATCAATTAAATTACCTTTTATTCTAAAAAAATTTTGAATCGTTTTAAAAAAAAAAAATTTTGTTGAATGATGTTGATATTGAACAATCCTATCCAATCTTAAAGAATGAGAAGAAAGAAAAATGAAAATGGAAGACTTCACTAAAGTAATTAAATAATTTTACGAGTATTTTTATATTTTTTTTCTTGTAAGTTGATATGAAAAACACTTTTCTGAACAGAAAAATTAGCTTTCAAAGATCAAACTTAGCCATGGCAAATGGCAGTGGAAACATCAAAGGATGTCAATCATATGGGTAAATGGAACAGAACCAACTTTCAACTGAAGTGCACAAATACTTCGCTCACATCTAATTATTCTCAACCGGAATTTGGACATATGCAGCTTTACAAACGTAAGGAACATCAGCGTACATACCGGCGAGAGCACACCTCATGCACTCCAAGACAGTGAATAGGAAACCGAAAAAGAAAATTGTCCAAAAGTGCATTCCAATCTTGCCCCAGTAGACTGCACCTGGGGTCACCCGGTTCAAAGCCCCCGTGACGTGCAGCGCAATCTCCAATAACAATCCCATCACCACGTGAAATCGAAAGAAGTGAGGCCATTCTTGCCTCCTTACAACAAACAGATATCCAACTACAAAGTATGCCAGAAAGGACCATCTTGGCAACCTTCCTACAGCCTCAAGAAATGGGGTGGTCCAAGACTCAAAAGCTTCCAAAAAAGGATGTAGATTATATGCTGTCTCGGCATACATCCATGACTGATGAAGAGGCAATAAATAGGGGAGGCATGATAAAGTCCTCCACCACCATCTTGGTCTCTTAGTCATTGGAGGATAGCTGAAACCCTTAAAAAGATCCCTTGATGCCCGGGGAACCAGATTAGATCTTCGACGCCTTGGTAAGTATGGAATACCACCTTGATCCCCACTAAATAGGGAGGTTGATGCAGCAGAAAGGTGCAATGGATGAAGACCTACAAAGAGAATATTATATGTAAGAGATGATAAGAATAAAACTTTGAGACAATTATAAAGCAAGGCAGAACTCTACTACAGGAACTAGCCCAGACTTTTAAGGAGAGAAGGTTCAGCTTTCTACCAGGGCTAATTAAATTGTGATAATGTGTTAACCAGGTGACAAAGGATAACTTGAAAAGAGAAATGGGACAACTATGTTACCTCTAACTGGAGAAGAGGATTTAAAATCCTGATGTGGCTCCCAAGAACTCCTGATAATGAACAGTGCATTTTCAGCAGGCAAATGGATACTGGATGTGAAAACAGATCTACATGGCACGGGGTTGGATAACCTTGAACTCATGAAGCCACACCCAGATGGCATGGCGCATGCATTTAGAATCATGACCAGTTGCTCTCCTGAAGACCAATAAGAACAATGTACGAAAATTCATTAATAATGGGAAAAAGAAAAAAAAAAATCTTTACATGGTGAAGCAAGTATGGTAATTTCCCATACTCAGTCGGATGTCTTAAATTACAAATATAATATGCATTCCTAGATTGAGGAGAGTAGGGAATAATAGTGCAGTTGATTTTTTAGTAATCAGGAGCAAAATGGAAAAGAAAAAATATATCAAATAACCTTGATTCATCATTCAAAGTAGCAGGACAATAGGTGGAAAAAACAAACTTCTCCATCCACTTCCCAAAAAGGGGAAAAAAAAAAAGAACAGAAAGGAGGAAAGTGGAGATCTTTCATTTGCAGCAAGAAGTGGCTATCTCTGATCGGAAATGACAACCATGCAATAGCCTCTACCAGATGTCATCAACAAACGTTCCTCAACAAACGTTCATCCACACACTAGAAACCAGCAGAGAAATTCCATTAAAGGACATTATCTCGCGAATTCACAAATGACAACCTGCTTTAACAAGTGCAAAATCTATTCTGAGCAGACAAAGTTCACCACAAGAGCTGTCTACCAGAGTGATAGCTCTAAATGCATATTCTGTTTCTTAACCTGGACTTCTCTTGTGGAATGTATACCACTGTACACCACCATTTGACATAAATATATTCAAAATATAACACTAAATCACTAACATGAAACAAAATGTATGCTAAATCATAACAAATTTTGCTCCTTTACTCCAATAAACAAGTACAAAATCTATTTCGATACTCTTCGTCATATCATTGCTTAAAACACAGGACGTAAATGGTAAAAACCAAACCCCAAAATGTTTGGTCAACCTCCAGCAGAAAACCCATAAAAATGAAGTTTCTAAACCACCATTGCAATCACCATTCATCGACCTACACCAATACATACCCTAGAAGGCTAGGACACACTACACAAGCCACAGTAATTTACAACCCAATAGCTAAAACTAAGACCATGTACTCAATCTCAGCTAAAAAACTGAAAAATGA